TGTGGAAAAGAAACCAGGGCTCCCAGTGCATGGTTGAGTGGTTGCAGCCTTCTTACACAAATCACACTCCTGTTTTCACTCTCACGGTTTGTCTCTGTTCTTTTCCTCCTTACTCTTTTGCATTCCAGTCTGATTGCTTTCTTTATATTCCTGTGCCTGGATACCAGTGGCAAATGCATATAGAAACTGTTATTTGCTTTTCTGTCCTGGTGACTGTGGGCCAGTGGTTCAGGACGAACAAATGCAAAGAAAGTTGTACTTAGCACCAGGATGGTGTTCGGTTGGTCACTTTTGCAGCCAGTGCATAGGAGCTATGTGAAAATCGTGCATGTTCATTGTAGATGAAATGTTCAAGAAATTTAGCTGGCACACTAATATAGGAGTTCTTTTCAAATTTTTTTTTTTTTCAGTTGACCTCGTTTGGGCATTTTTGTGTTGTTGTTTTAAAAAAAAGCCAGCCAAACAAACCACATGTACCCCAAACCCACATCACTAGTGCTCTTACAAAATATCAGGTCTTTGCTCCAATCCCAGAGTTAGCAGACCTCCTAAATGCCATGGTTATGAAACAAAGTTAGCTGAAGTAAAATCAAATTTGTACCAGACTTATTCTCAGAAACAATTGCACTTCATACAAAAAGAATGGTTTGAGTCAGCCCAATGGTTGAAATTTGGTAAAATTACCAGCAATTGAAAATTGAGAGTAATAAGTATTGTTAACAATGTCCTTGAAGGATAAATTTCTACAGAAATAGAACTCTTTGTATTGTGTCTTTTGTCTGGAAAGTTATCTTCTGTATTGCCACTTTCCCTTTTTTTTTTTTTTTGAAAAAGGTTTGCAAAGTAGGAGTTTGTTTCCTATACAGCTAGTGAACGATATACAGAGAAGCAAAAGTTTAGATTATCACTCCACTTACACTGTAAAGGTTAGGGAAGTTCTTTAGGCAAGAGAGGAGACAAGAAAACTGGTAACTAAACAACGGTAGTTTTCACAAAATATTTCTATCTGTTTTTATGTACGTTTAACTTTACCAGGTTAATGTGCCACTCTGATCTGCTAGAATACCACAAATGTACCCTTAAATGTCACGGATATAGCATTACCCTCTCCAGGTTAATGTACCTGATTCTGTCTGTGAGGAGAGGTCTCATACTTCAAGGGCTCTATATAATCTCTCAAGACTACATTGACCAAGGCTCCTGCTACAGTGTTCTGAAACCGCAGCTGGATTTCTTACCCTCCCTGGTCACCCCCTCCTCTGCCGCAGCTCACCAGCCTCAGGGGTGTGTCTGTGTAAGCACTGATGGGCCTCTTCTCTCAACCCAAGCGGGATCATCCAGGACTCATACAGCATAAAATGTTGAATTGCTGCAGTGAAGGGGAAAGGAAATGCTAGGACCAGAAATGAACAGAGAGGGTCGGGGAGCGCTGGGTGCTCTTAACCTGCTTTTGCTGCTGGAGAAACTGCAGATGGATCCCTGCCCTGGAAAGGATGATTAAAGCTGACTGGGGTGAATTGTCTTCTGCCTGTGTTCATTTTAGAAGCTGAGACTTAATATTTTAAAGCTGTTAACTAGATTAAATGAATTTTGTGAAAACTTAATCTGTAATGTAATAAAGACTTGTAAAATAAATTGATTCCTTGGTACTAATTTAACTTTTATTAAAATTATTTGAAAGAACTATGTCCCAGGCAGAGTAAGCTACATCAGAGGCTTTATCTCTATTACTGCTGAGCTAGCGTGGCAATTTTTCTTGCCCTAAAAAGTGATATGTTCGGATCGGATTGTTTATAAGTGACTACATTTAGGACATGCAGATTTTCAAGGGAGCAATGCTTAAATAATGTCTCCACTTTTTTTTTTTTTTACTACATTTTTTTAAAGCTGTATCAGGGCTTTATGACTTCATGAGTAATAACAAAGAAAAAAAAAAACAACTTATTTGTTTTGATCCTCTCAGGAAGAGAGAACTGAATGGGTTTCAAAGATCAGTTCTGCGTACTCAGACTTCTGTTGTCATTTGTACTGATAGTGTTGATGCCCATTTAAAAAAAATATCACCAAGATCTTAATTTAAAAAATTCTTATGCATGTTACTTTATGTCAACTGGAGCTGAAGTATATCACAGTGGTGCTTTTATATCTTGAAGTTATAATTAAGGATGTTCTTCACTATGCAGAATATTAGGTCTAAATGCTATAGTAGAGTTTTTTTAGTTATGTAGAAATAGTTTTTGTAAATCTAATATTCTGCCTAATTTTTGTGCACTTTTATTTTGGTACTGCATTGTTTGATGCAACAAACTTTCTACCTAAAAGGGTTGAGTTGAGGAAGTTGTTCAGGCAGGAGACAGGGGTGTTAAAAATGAGGGTGAGGAAAGGTTAGGCGTTTGGTATCCGAATTTATTGTTAAAAGAACTTTTCTGTTTTCAGTGCTGGGAATTAAATGCACTTTTTTCTTAGTTTGAACTTTGAGGAGACAGCTTCACGCTTTTCCTTTCCTCCTTTTTTCCTTTTGCTTTTGGCACCAGCCGAATGTTCTCACATTCATAATCACACTGCACTAAGCTGTCTCTGCATCAAAAGAAGATAGAGTGCCGGTCCTTCCGAATTGATCAGCACTGGCATAATTAGCATTGATGCTTAAATTAAGATGCAGTATCTGCATGGCTGATCTTTTTCTTTTTTTGGATTGTCTGCAGATTCACAGCATCATCTCATACTTAGTTCATGGTTTTAAAGTTTTCTTCACAGCCATTAAATCTAAATATGTCTCTTACAGTGGGCACCTTACATTATGTTTTCCAGAAGTAGGAAAGCCCTGTCTCCCTTAGAGCTTTGAGTCCATATCAATATCCTAAATCAATGTCAGGCCAATAGGCATCAAGGGAAGGAAAAAGACAGCTGTGAGAACATAAAACACTACCTTTAATGCATTTCAAAGTGATTTCATTAGAAAAAAAAATCTATAGACTTAACACTTATTCTTTATTATGTGTTAATATTATTATGAAAATAGCTTTATGGTATATTTAAGTAGCATTGAGAAAAATTATCTGGAAAAAGGCTTTGTGCATGAGTCCACATTCAGAGTCACTGCCAGAGCCAAGATGAAGATTCACGTGTTTTTGGCTTTAGGCTAACAGAGCACCTTGCTTCCTAAAAGGAGTTAATTCAGTTTGCTTTTATATTTACAGATAGATGCTTCTGACAAAAATATTCCCTGTTGTTCTAGTTTAGTATAAACAAGACATCAGCTGATTGCTCCTATCTTAAATGGTATGTTGTTTAAGCTTTGGCAGCTGATCTCTTCATAAGGTGCCTGATACCCTTACAGCTGTTGGCATCATGTGCATCTTCTTGTAGCTGGTCCATCAGTGTCGGATCAATAGGGTAAAGACTTTATGAAAACAAGCTAACCAAAATGAAAGTCTGCCCAGTGAAACAAGACTCTGGCTTCCTGTTTTCTTTGCAGGTTTCTCTATTGAGTTTTATAGTTCTCTGGGAATTCAGAGAAGAGGTTTGTAGATTCACTAGGCTTTTAAGTTCATTGATTCTCACTAAATACTAATACTTTGTGTGAGTGTTTATAAATACATACGTGAGCAATTGCTGACATGAAACAAATACAGACATTAGAAGGTTGAAGGATAAATGTCTCAAGGACCGGTTAATAAAATTTGGGCCAACTGCAAGCTTCCATATTTAGTCTTTCCATTAGAACTTCAGAAAACTTAAACTTTGAAAGATTTGCTTGCACTGTAGGGAAGAGAGCTAATTTAAAAAGTTTCTCTTTTGCCTCATGTTTTTTTCATTTCTTCACATGGTTTTCAAGGAGCCCATTAATATTAGCAATATATGAGTGAACAAATGAATAAATGTGCCTGATGAAGTACAGTAATAGAAGAAATTCCAACTTAAAGAAGGGCACCTGACTATGTGTTGTTTATGTTGTTACAAGAGAAGGTTATTCTGAGGACAGGAACTTAGACATTTAAACAGATTCTGATAAACAGTTCACCTCCTAATAGCTAAGCATTCTGTTGAGAGCAGTTGGCCTGAAAATGCAGAGGTGTGAAATATTTTTGACTCGTGTAAACCTCAAATGAAATTATTATTATTTGAGTTTTGTTAGTGTTTTGTCATTCAGACATGCAACATTTTCCTTCAGCAAAAGATTAGATATTTAGGGAAGAAGCCTCAGAGTACTTTTTTTTGTAAATGAAGTAATAATTGGTAGAAGTAAATTCTTCAATTTGTCTGGCGCTAGTGTACATGATGGGTAATTATTTGATTAAATTATTGTGCCTATGCCCCACCCCACCCTCTTTGGCAGTATCTTTAACATTTTCTCAATCATCTCCTGCTTCTAAGCACAGAAGCAGCTGGTGTTACTGTCATTATTATTTTTTTTTTAATTTCCTTAGACAAGTATGAATCGTTATGGCATAAAAAGGCAGATTAGAGATTCATGGAAGCATTTTATATCCTCCCTTGCTGAATCATTACTTGTGTGGCAGCTCAGCCAGAGTCTCTTCTGTGGATAGCAAAGGTCATATAATAGAGCTCCTTTTAAGAGACTAGTGGCCAGCATGTTCTCTCCCCCATACAGAAATGACATATGCTGTTAGGGGTCTGTCTTTAAACACCAAAATTGGTAGAATTTTTAGTAATACAGTCTGTACTTGCCATAGAGGCGAAGCTGGTAGAGCTATGAGTTCATTAGTCCAGAAAGAAATCTGTTGACAGGCAAGTGTTGGTGGATGGTGAGGCCGGCCTAGTAATGGGAGAGAGATGAAATCATCCCAAGAGTCCATACCTGTTACATGCTCTAAAGCTGAAGATTTTCTGTTAATATACAAGCGTTCCGTGTCCGTTGAGCAATATGTCAGACTATATTTTAACCATTTGCAGCAGAATATTACATGTTCTGAACTTTTCTTTTTTTCTCTGATTTTTATTTGGTTTTTTTCTTTTCTTTTTTCCTTAAAATGTAGGAATATTCCGAGGACAGCAATTCTGAACCAAATGTGGATCTGGAAAATCAGTACTACAATTCCAAAGCTTTGAAGGAAGATGATCCCAAAGCAGCATTAAGCAGTTTTCAGAAGGTTTTGTGTCTTTATATTCTATCTTTTATTTTTATATTAATTCACATTTTAAAATATTTGCTTACCATTTGAGTTATTTGTGGAATTTTAAGACTAATGTTTATATTTTAGCTTACTAATGTGCTAAATTTATCATTGGGCAACTTAGACTCCTGGCTGGACTGCCTTTCAGGATCATTCGTAAGGAATATAAATAGGACATGGATTAGTCCTGTTTTATCGCAGAACTGACTTTTTAATCTTCGGAATTTACTAAGTTAATTAAACAGTCCTAAGTGTGTTTTCGTATGTCAACTATAGAAGCCAGATCAATTCTTTTTTTAAAATGAGATGGCATTTTCCCCAGTGTCTTATGTAATGTATTATATTTGGTTTGCTATCTGATTACAAAGCTTTAAATGTATAAATACTAAGTGACATAGAGTTTCTTTCCTTGATGTCAGTTTTAAATTTTTAATGTTTGCACACTGCCACCAGAAAGCAGTATGGTAGATGTAACTTTTTGAGAAAAAATAGATTTTTGCATTCCTTGGCTTATTTAGTATATAACAGTATTATATACATGAGTTTAAAAAAGACCTTCTAAACTTTTTACTTATAAAACATTCCCTTAACTACTTTAATTCCCTTACATTAAAGCCTAGAAGTCTCTGTGATATGTGAAGAACCTATAGTAATTCAGAAGTGTAAATTTCTGACTAATTTAATCAAGGGGTGGGTTGAGTCAGTTTGGCAGGGGGTGTTACAACATTTTGTGTACATGTATTTATGGAGTGGTGTTCAAGTATAGTGTTTGATGTTAGACAACAGCAAAAAGAATCTATAAATAACAGTTCACCCTCCCTACATCAGCTACGTTGTGAAAACTAGTAAGATACATACCCCTCACTAACTGTCTCAATAATATCAGGGAAAAGTAAAATTGAAGAACAGGGCAGAGTGAAACATTACTTTGTAAGGAGCAAAGCAGGGGGGAAAGGCATGTTTGTGTGTTTTAAACAAGATGAAAATCAATGTAAGTTTTGACTAAAGCTTTTATAAATATTTTAAAAATTCTTCTATTTCAGGTTTTGGAGCTCGAAGGTGAAAAAGGAGAATGGGGATTCAAAGCTCTGAAACAGATGATTAAAATAAACTTTAAATTGGTAGGAATTACAGCTATCACTTGAGAGTAAATAGCATAAATATGTATTTGATCCAGACATCTTGAGTTATTACTGTAATTTGTGGCTATGACAACTAAATCTGCCAAAACTTGTCTTTTGCGGCCTTTAATGACTACTACAGACATCACAGGGAAATTATGTGGTGGTTGCAAGTCACAGGAAAAATGGATGTAAAACAAAAAGCTTCTGTAGTCAGCTGATACTCTCTGAAAGTTTGAGAGGCTCAGTCCTTGCTATCCTGAAGCATCGTGCCATTGAAAACAGTAATGTTTCTACCTATGTGTACTTCACCAGAACAAATCGGTGAAAAATGTATATGCTACATATGCAACCATTCCAAATAGTTGTATATCCAGTTCTGTTTTCTTTGTTGAGATAAATACTTTCAATGTCTATTCCTTGCAGTCTTGCTGAAGTTATCCCTGATTCTACAGCTTATGAGTAAAGTGGTGATGTAAAACTTCCTAATAGCAAGCACTACTGCATAGTCCTCTGTTATGCTTTTTTTCTGTATGTGTATTTGCAAGATATAACTTAGGTTTTAATCATAAAAATAAAAATTATAGTGTAATTTTGTTTTTATTTTAGACTAACTTTCCTGAAATGATGAACAGATACAAACAGCTATTGACCTACATTCGGAGTGCAGTTACAAGGAATTACTCTGAAAAATCCATCAATTCTATTCTTGATTATATCTCTACTTCCAAGCAGGTTAGATCATCAGTTCTTTCATCCTCATGGTTTTCTTTTTTGCATTTTTAACTGTGAGCTTTGTTGTGTATGGTAGTCTGTTGGTTTTGGGTTTTTTGATCTTAATAGAAAACATTAGCAGTATTAATTTGTTGTTGTATGTTAAAATATATTTCCCACATTTAATGGACTCTATAAACACACAAAACTTTTCATAAACTTGTCTTCTTTGACAATCTTTACCTAGGATTTTTATGCTAATAAATCAAGTAAATACTTTTAAAAATTATTATTAGGATAGTAGCTACACAGTATAAGTGCCTTCTCAAATATAATTTGTAATTAAACAATACTTTTTTTTTTGCTTTGGCAAGAGAGGGGAACCTTTGAAAAACTTTGCAATGAAGTGTTGGTGTTAAATACTGCCTGTCTTTGGGTGTCCTGTGCAATCTAGGTACATGTTTATAGATACGCAGCCCAGCTCCTTTTCCTTTGTGGTGTTGCAGAAGCTTTACAGAGAGTAGAAAGCTCCCTTAAGGGACTGCCTGGAAGTAGCACCTGCATATGGAGGTGGTCTTCAGTGGTGACTCCTTTGTCATTATCACAATCCTTCCTGTCCTGTCCTGCCACTCATGGGAAATGAAAGTTTGATAGCTGAATGATGGCTTACTCTTAATGTCTAAAGGACTGTCTTAAACGATGCCTTGTTGGCAGAGGTCAGTGTATTTGGTCTAAATGCAGCTGGAGCCAGAGGGACAATCTGGAAATCTTAACTTGATGTGTAGCCACAGGTCTGTTACCCCAAAAGAACAACGGCCGTATACAATACTAATGCATTCTATGTAGAACCTTTGTTAAAGGCCACACTCAGCACTTTGATTTCCATTTTGGATGTTGTTTTTTGGTTTTTATTCAAATAAACGGTTTGACATGCTCAAGAGCTTTCTTTCATGCAGCACTGGTAGTATAGAAAGGAGAAAGCATCTTTTCCTTTGACCATTTCTCTCTCTTTGTAAATCATATTTTCTTTTTGATATGTAAATTTTTTTAGTTTTCTTCTTTTAAGTAGGACCGATGTTGCCTGTTAGTTTGTCTTTTGTTACACAAGAATTTTAATACTTGGTTATATAAAATGGGCTCGTATAAGGTGGCTTCATTTTTCACTAGCATGGTAGATGGTTGCAAATCTTAAAAGGTGCATACTTTTTAATTATATCTATTTCATATAAGAAAAGCAAGCGTACTTAGTTTTGTTACTTTAGAAACTCTTGTTACAATTTAAAAGCAGACATTCAGTAAGACGCAGATACCTCTCTTATTTTGAAGTTCAAGCATGCACTTGTAGTTTGTTGAGATTGACTTCATTAACAGGTACAAATTTGCTGTTTACAATTATAGAATTCTGATTTTTTATGTCAGATGGATTTGCTTCAGGAATTCTATGAAACAACGCTTGAAGCTCTGAAAGATGCTAAGAATGATAGATTGTGGTTTAAGACAAACACAAAGGTAAAATGTATAACTTACTGGTTTTTGCTTTTGTTTGTGACACCTTCAGCTAACCCTTATAGTTGAGAAACCTTAATAGACCTTAGTACTTCAACTTTTTTTTCATTGCAGCTTGGCAAATTATATTTAGAACGAGAAGAATATGGAAAGTTACAAAAGATTTTGCGTCAGTTGCATCAGTCATGCCAGGTACCTTTATATTCTAAATCGCTGTACCTTAGTAAACAACATTGTTGGTTTTTTTTTATGTTGGTTCTTGGCCTTAGGCATGTTCCTGAGCTTTAGTACAGAGGGAAGAAATATTGTGCCCGGTTTAATTTGTTATCTTTTTGATAACGTGAACAAAAAAAGGATAAGTCCTTGCTTAAAGATGATTTTTTAAAAATTATTCACAACTGCTGATTAAGTTTCCTTTTAGGCAGGTGCAAGAATGAGAAGCACATATTAATTTATAATGCATAGACATTTATTTTAAAATGTAGTGAAGACTCCAAGTGAGCTTTACTCAGAACTGAAAGTACAGCTGTTACTTTCCCATTTGGAGGGGGGAAAAAAATTAGCTATGCAGCCTGCTGTGCTTGTTTGTGTCCCCCTTTCTTCCTCCAGCATGGAAAATGGGTTACAAATAATCTGGGAAACGGTTCTGTTATAGGTAGCAGAAGAGTCATATGTATTATTTATATGTACATATATATATATATATATGTATGTGTGTCAGTCATTGCTTTTTTATGCTGAGAGTGTGATTTAAGGAAGGTGAAAAAGAATAAAGGGCAAAGTTCTGAAAGTTGTTACATGTTATAAGGGAAATATTTAATTAAACAAAAATACAGACTTTTTTAATAAAAGGCTTCAAAACTTGGCCTGTGATAAGTTCTTTGAGTATTATGCTTTGTGTTAATAGTTATATCAAAATTTTAAAGTTTCAGGAATATCCTTATTTCTGACAGGAAATTACTGAGAGTATTTGGTAATCATTTTTTAGTAGTATAAAACTGAAATCACTGTTCTCTTAAAATTTCACAGTATTTATTATTTAATCTATCCTAGACTGATGATGGGGAAGATGATCTAAAAAAAGGTACTCAACTATTGGAAATCTATGCTTTGGAAATTCAAATGTATACAGCACAGAAAAATAACAAAAAACTTAAAGCACTATATGAACAGTCATTGCACATCAAGTCAGCCATTCCTCATCCACTGATCATGGGAGTTATCAGAGGCAAGTAAATCTTGATTTTTTTCATTTAACTTCTGTCACATAGATTAGTTTTATGTAAATCTGATAATTTGTTTTTTCAATTCCAACTATAAAAACAGAGGATCCTGTAGATTCAGAGGCAGACAAACCGTATGTGAATTAAGGACTGCAAATGCAGTGGCGACAGTCTCATCATTTAATGCTTGCCTCCTGTAGGACTTCAGCTCTGCTGTCCTGGTGCCTAAGCACCAGATGTGTTGGTCAGAAGGGCAGGACGGTTGGCTACCTATACTGTAGGACAGAAGCAATAGAACAAGAGGAAGACTTGAGCTGTTGGACACTGTGGCAGGCAACAAAGGATATCCTTTGCAAATGCCTTTGCATTTTTAAAAAGAGGCTTGACAGGACTGCTAGTGGAAGGAACTACTATGTCTGCAGTCCCCTTTTGTAAATTTGTGCTTCATGTCTCACCTTACTAAAATTCGTCAGGAACTAGAGGGCTTTAAGATGTGTTTGAAAATATTATTTACTATCTGTAATGATGAATTTTAGCGGAAACGTGCTGCGTGTCTTGAAAAAAACTTTCTCCAGAATACTGCTGTGCCTTCCCTCTTACCCTGGTGCAGGCACTTGCACAGGCAATCAGGCAGCAATGAGTGCTTCAGAAATAAAAGGAGATATAGAGTATTTATCAATTTTTCTGTGTGGTTTTGCTGAACAGATTGAGAAAATTACATCAATATAGGAAGTCCATTGCCTTTGAAATGGAGGTAAATTCCATTGTAGTTTTTACAGTATTTTAACATATGGTTAAATAATTATTGGCTGTGAGGATTAGTGTTCTTTGAGATTTACGGTGTGGGTTGGGTTTTGTTTTTTCTTCTTTGGAATGGGTTTATTCAAATGGCACTGCTGTATGGGAGGGCCCTAATGTTTTGGGTTTTTTTTTTTCCCCTAGCAATTTCAGAGAATGAAAAGACTCCTGAAAATATTTCAATAATCTATTTAGAAATAGCGTGGAACTTCTGAATACAATTATTGTAGTCAACAACAAGCACGCAGTGTTCCTTTTCCCTTCATCTGTGTTTTCTTTTCAGAATGTGGAGGCAAAATGCACTTAAGAGAAGGAGAGTTTGAAAAGGCACATACTGATTTTTTTGAAGCATTCAAGAATTATGATGAATCAGGGAGCCCCAGAAGAACCACTTGCTTAAAATATTTGGTCTTAGCAAACATGCTTATGAAATCTGGAATAAATCCATTTGACTCTCAGGAGGTATTTTTTTTT